AGACCAGCCAGGGCAACTTGGAGAGACGTCATCTGTACAATAAATTAAAATATTAGTTGGGAGTGATGGCGCGTTCCTGTAGTTCCAGCTACTTAGAAGGCTGAGGCAGAAGGATCGCCTGAGCCCAGCAAGTTGAGGCTGCAGTGGCTGTGAGTGTGCCACTGCACTCTAGCTGGGCAACAGAGTGAGACTCCAACCCCAAAAAAACCAAACAAAACAGATGTTAATTGTAATCCTAAGAAGATAACTTTAAAATACGTAGTAAGAGCCAGGTGCTGTGACTCTCACCTGTAATCCCAGCATTCTGGGAGGCAGAGGCAAGAGGATTGCCTGAGCCCAGGAGTTCCAGACCAGATTGGACACCTTGGTGAGACCTCGTCTCTGTAATAACTCAAAAAATTAGTCAAGTGTGGTGGCGCATGCCTATGATTCCAGCTACTTGGAAGGCTGAGGTAGAAAAAATACCTGAGCCCAGCAGGTTGAGGCTGTGGTAGCTGTGTGCCATCGCACTCCAACCTAGGTGACAGACTCCAGCTCAAAAACGAACAAAAAATATGTAGTAAGAAAAGTGATAAAAGAAAATGGTACACTAGAAAATAGTTAACACAAAGGCAGTAGTAGAAGAATAAAGAAACAAAAAAATATGACATAGAAAAATGGAAGCCCAGCACTTTGGGAGGCAGAGGCGAGAGGCTTGCCTGAGCCCAACAGGTCGAAACCGCGGTGGCCATTAGTGTGCCACTGCACTCCAGCCTGGGTGACAGAGTGAGACTCCAACTCAAAACAAAAAATGTATTGATAGCTTATGTCTTTCTAGAAATCTGTCGGTTTTACCTAGGTTATCTATTTTTTGGAATAATCACAATATTCCCTTAAAATACTGTTTTCTTTTATAAGGTTGGTAGTAATGCCCTCTCTTTTATTACTGATTTTAATATTTTGGGTCTTCTACGTCTCGGTGAGTCTATCTAGAAGTTTGTCAATTTTGTACGTCTTTAAAAATAAACAACTTTTGGATTAATTTTCTTTCTTGGTTTTCTAATCCACATTTCATTTATTTCTGATCTTCATTATTTCCTTCCTTCTTTCTGCCTGTATTGGGTTTTTTTTTTTTTTTTT